CATCTTAATTAGGCTGGATGAAATTGGGCCTCAGAGGCCCTTTCTGAACTAGGTGACATGGACCTAGTCTGACCCCAAGAAAAAAAAAAAGGGCAAAACGGACAAAAACAACCCAAAACCCCTCAGGAGAGCTCTCATAACCAGGCTGATAGTGACAGAACTGCAGCAGTAAAAGATGAGGTGATGCTGGACAGACCTTTTTTCCTACTGCTGATGCTCTGGCAATATTCAGTCAAAAAAACCCCCACCAAACCACAAAACCAGAAAGGGGAAGAAAGCAGCTTTTACTGCCTTCAGATAGGACAGGTTCTCAACTTTGTTCACAGAATTGTTGCTGGAACTTGTTCAGTGACTGTGAGCACAACACATAAGGAGCAGAACAGGACCCAGAACCCAGAAATCCCCTTGCCCAGGATGTAAAGAGTCATCCTTCCTCTTAACCTGGCTCGTCTTCACCAGCAGCATTCCCCTTTCCTGCAGCTGTATTTCAAAGGTAAGTGGTGAACATGCTCTGCCATGGGGGAAGCAACTGGCTGTTGACTTTAAAAAGTAGGGTCCGAGAAGATGGAAGTACTTTCCCTGAGTAACTTAGCGGTCTCTACTCCAAAATCAGGTTTTGATTCACATAAACAGTTCTGATACATCTTCTTTTTATTGGTTTAATCCCACATCAAGTACCAAGATTCATATACAGGATTCTGGCTTACATTCTGGCCAAGGCTGCCAGAAGCAACCTACTGCAATCTAATCTGCCGATACTATGAGTTCTTACTAGATCCAATGCAATTCCTGCAGATGAATAGTTATAACATACAGATTACATACCAACAACACATTTAATCACATATATTTTGTATAAATTAAAGGACATTCTAAAACCAAAACGAAGAGGATTGGAGTAAACGTGCTTTACACAGTTTGTAGAATAAGGAAATAGATTCATTTATTATTAAGCAAACCCCTTGGTCTCAGTGGTGACAGATGACCTCTGAAGAACGAATCATTCCAGCAATTGCCGAGTAGAGGGAATGACTAACAACTTTAAAAAGCTGTTTTAGCGGGAGCCAAAAAAACAATATATAAAGGAACTAAGCTTCAGGGCTATACAATTAGTTTTAGTGCAAAGTACTATTATGTAGTGAATCTTAATGTAACATTTCTTACTCAAATATTGAGGGCAATGAATGTTAAATATCAAAACAGCAGGTGAAGACAAAGCCAGATAATGAGTTGAAAGCTTTTCAGAGTCCTTACATTACAGTCAAAAAAAGAGCTTCAAAGACTTGAAAACTAACAGGAAGTCTCACTTCATGGGAGAACACCTGAAAGACTTGTCATAATTCAGGCACATTGTTTGCACTATTTTCGCTACTGAAAAATAGTTAAATGGTCTTCAAGTGACAACAGTCTTCTTGAAGTAAGTACTAAACTACCCGTAGGAAGAGATCACACTCAAAGCCCCTTTTTTCTGTTGTGCAGAAAACCACAAGCAACTCTTGATTGAGAGGATTAGCTCACAAAATTAGATCTTTATACTTTAAAAAAAGTGTCTGTTTAAGCCCTCATAGGCCTTAAACATCACCAAGTCACTGCACGTGTTGGTAAAACAATAAGATGACCCAACAACCCAGCAGCAATCCAACTGCAAGCAGGCAGATCAAGACATTTGGCAAGCATAGGGAGTACTCTGCATGCATGCCAAAGAACCAAATTCTGAAATTATTTATGTATATTAATGAAAGAAACTTGTGTAGCATGCTTTACCACAAAAAATGTTATTTACATTATACATTATCAACCATGAACCAAGCTTCCTGAGAACAACATTACAAAAAACAAAACTGCATAGTTTACAGCATCGGTAACAAAAATTACAAAGCCCGGAATGAAGGTATTGCAAATGCATTCCCGCAATGAAACACAAGAAAAACTTGATGAACAGGAAAACTTCATGAGCTAAACAGCATGGTGGTTTCCAAGTTTGTACTGTATTTATTTGCAAAGTTAACTGTTTCATAAATACACAGACACAAATAGACAGATACTCTTAAAACGGTAAAAAAAAATATTCCATTACACTTTGTGGATCCTGGGTTCCAATGAACCCAAGCTATGTTAAATATTGCTGTAGTAGATTTTATACTTCACTGCTAATTTTACTGTAAACAAACACTGCAAAAGGGAAAATAGACCTTTATGACAAGATGAAAAAAAGTAATTCCTGTCCGTTCCATAACGCCTATATTTCCAGAAAACCACGGACCTGATCCTTCAACAGTACATATGTAATTTTACTCTCACGAGTAAAAATAGTCTCATTGATTTTAATAGAAAAGAATTACTATTAAGACAGGCAAACAAGTATACATATATTCTGGACACAGTAATTATTTCATTAAATACATTATTACTCCTATATAGAGGTTCTACTTACACAAGGAAAGAAACGTTACAGGACAAAAAAAAAGCACATCAAAGATTTCAACTAATATAGTAAACTTTATTCAAATGGTAAGTTTACACAGATTGCCATTAATAAAAACATTAGCTTGTTGTAGTTAAATGAGACTGAACTCTGCTGCACATTGTTTTGCAACTGCTTCAAGCACAGTGAGCTACCAGTCCTCAGAAGGTAGAATCCTACCTTATTTAAAGTCAATGGGAATTTTGCCATTGGTTTCAGAGTAGAAGGATGTTTTAGAGTCAACTTCCTCTCCCTTGCCCTTTTTTCAAAAAAAGTTAGACCAGAGAGAAATCTGCCCCATTATGAAGAATTTTGACTAAAAAACCAAAAAAAAAAAGTATACAGAATGTACTCTCATATCTCTTACAACAGTTAGATTCCAGCAGAAGCTGAGAATTTTTTCATCTTTTTCTTTTATATGCAGCCCCCAATCCCATTTTGTTTGATTACCTATAAATACAATCATATGCATGAATTTCATTAAGACTGGAAAAGTAAATACCAGAGCAGTTTAATACGCAGAACGATGCATCACGTGCAGTAGGACTAACCGTGCTTGGTTCAGATCACTGAACCCCTGGCTGGGCATACTCTCCTGTTTGAGAGAGAGTTGCCCTTGCCTGGGTATTGCTTTCCTTGACTTGTATCAAGCTATCCTTTTGCCTCCCTATTTCACTCCATAAAGAATCTCAAATAGGGATACATGCCTTTCAAGTGTGAAAATTGCTGGACTCCAGAAGGCTCCGCATTTCATACTCAGGAAGTTACAAAAGCATGAGGGCAATGCTATCTAATCCTAACTGTTTAGGTAAATGAACGTGTTGCCAGATGACCCAAATGTCCGGATCTCTCCTAAGGCTGTATTTTTGTGTTGGCAGATAGAATTTCCCTTGAAGGCTAAAAATGAGGCATATACCAGTAGAAAAAAAAACCCACTTGATTTATGAGAAGCAAAAATGCATTATGTTTTGCCAGGTCCTAGTCAGCTCCCTGCCAGCCACAGCAAGGAGCTTGGGTAACTTGATTCACTACCGATTTGGATATCTAAAATGGAGATAGCATTATTGTTGTTGCTGTGTTTTTTAATTGTTTTCTCAGTGAAAGAGCTTCCAGTTTGTTACCAACATAATTCTGAAATAAGAGCAAAAACCATAAATCAGCTGCTTCAAAAGCTTACAGACGCACTCAGTATTTCACTGATGTCTATTTCTGGATACCTATCTAGTTGGTGTAAGATGTTATTAAGGAGTCTCCACAGAACAGTTCTGCAGGAAATAAGCTCCCCTGTAGCTCTGCCACTACATTTTCTTGCATTAAAAGTTTCCTGTGATGAATATAGAGCCCATAAGTCTGTGTGACTTGATATATTTTGAGCAGAATAACTGAAATGCCTTGCAGAGATACCTTGCTTTGGATGCTAATGTTTGACTTTTGTGCTCTACCCCTACAAATCTTTCTACTGATATAAATCAGCTTTACAGATTTACCCTACTTACAGACTCTACCACCAACCCAAACACAAGGGTATCACAATCTAAAGGCAGATGAAAGCTCCAGAACTTGGCGGGGGGGAGGGCGGGATAACGGACAGACTCCAGGAGGCAAGGGCATAAAATCATTGTGCCCAAAGAAGCTAACATAAAATATTCCATATGGTTTCCAAAACCTTGCAAAAAATCTGAAAAATGGAACCTGTGTTCTCTTTCACCACTAAGTAAGGACTAACGCACACACTGGCTCATAAACAACAACACAGTATATACTTTGACAGAAACGGTAAGCCAAAAATATGAATAATCAAGAGAGTCATTATTCACATTACTCATTTAGGCAAAGTAACAATAGTATCCAAAACATTGAAATAAACTATAGGAAGCATTACAAATCTGCAAACTCTAGGGCAGTAGAAAGAGTCACGATATCTGTGCTTGAACGGGCTTAAGCTCTAGTTTTGCTAATGGCAGAACTCCTACAGTTCCTTGGCAGACTTCAATGAATTTAAGACTTCTCCATTAATTTTAACATATGCTAAATGAAAGTTTAGTGCTTTCATTTTAAGATAACCAGATTGAAATAGAACTATATGATGCTCACTGAGCTCAAGAGGCTTATCATAAAAATTCATGTGCAGAAATCCAAGTTAAAAACCATTTACTATAAAAAACCCAACTTTAAAAAAACATACCGCATCCAGAATCTTCCCTCAAATATTGTAACTGTTATCTTCAGTTGGCACACTGCTGACATTGCAGTACCACTTCAATGTGCAAGAAATAAATGGATAGAGAGCAACCTGCAATGCTGTCAGCAAACCACCACCGCCGAGTAAATGAATGAGACATCCTAATTTCTCAGTTTTACCTTACAGAAACCTTACGAATACAGACGACAGCAGTAATTAAATATAACAAAGAAATTTCACCATTGCAATACTATTGATTTTTTTGTTGTATGCACCAGCCAAATTCTACCACTTATCTAGTGACATATTTTTGAAATTGAACATACATTTTCCAATCAAAAAAAACACCCTTACCAGGAATAATCATGAATAAGAGCCTGGGTAGATTTTTACTTTCATCTTTTGAGAGGTCTTTCCAGGGCCCACACTTTAAGACATGGGTAGCAGCTCCACAACAGTAGATAAATTCTTCATGTAATGGGACTGGCTCTTCTGACACCGACCTCATGTTTGCTGTTAGACAGAACAAGATACTGTTATAACAGATCAGCAAATATTTACATAGCTGGCTCTTTGCTACCTTCCCATAGAATAATTGCAAAAAAGCCAAAACTACCCTCCCAAACAGCTGTCATCTCCAGTAAACAGAGGTCCAGTTCAGTATTCATATTTTAATAGGTAGCAAAAGATGATACATGTTACTACTATATGAGGGAAACTATCTTTCGGTTTTTGTCACAGAGATATGTGGTGATGAGTTGGACAATAAGATCTACTCTACCTTAAAGGCAAATAATTTAAAATTTCTTATTCACACTGTCCACTGAAAAGACTCATTTGACACTTATTTGAAGGCAAACAAAAGAAAAAATACCAAACAAAAAAACCTACTGCATCAACATCTTCACAAGTTCTGCATACCTCAACTACAGGAACACAGCCTCTCTTAAGAACCACCAAGAAAAAAAAACAACCCAACAAAAAACAACCAGAGTAAAACCCAAAAGAAAATATCAGAGGCCAAAAGAAAAGCGCTAATTACTACAATGCCTCCCAGCACTAGGTGGGGTCCTCATTTTATGTGCAGCATAATTTACCTCTCTGTAAATTTTCAACAGATTAAAGGAGGAATCTTTGTCAGTTAAAGTTAATAAAGGTTCGATCAATTCAAGCAAATTTATGCTCATCTTTATAACTTTTCTTAAATTGTTTGGTTACCCGAATACAGTAATGGGAAATAAAACAGTATGCTGCCAAATAAACAAGGCACATACATCAGTTCATGTATTTATCACATATGAAATCACTATTAGGCTATCACTTTGCAACTGGCTGATTGACCAAACTCCTGTATATTTCCTTCAGTAAAAAAAGGCACTTGATGAAGTGACTACTTACGAATTAAAATGTCATCAAGATGAACTATGACATACACAGCACCTGCCAAAGTAAGCATTTGCCATTTGCAACTACAGGTGCAGTTACCCAATGCAGAGTCAGAAGCCTGCCCTTGTTTGAGTATGACAACACGTGTGCGTCACTTGGAAGAGACCAGGGCTTGGTTAAGTCCACAAAGCTGTTTATATCAGCTTCAAGGGCTATTTAAGCTCTACAAAATATTTCCAATCTTCTAAGAACCACATTTCAGGCTTCTGAAGCAACAGATCTGGCTTAAACAGAGTTGAAAAACTTTGTTATGCTATTACAGGAATGACTATGCATTCTTTGTTCAATACATGACCATCTATAATGGAAAAGGCTGACCAACTTAACTGTTTCCAATTTAATTAAATTGTAATTCAAGTTACACACAAGGGGAAAAACGAGATTAAGTCCAGTGACTAATCTAAAAGTCTAGTCTTTAGTGTCTCTACCTAGTACAACCTGGAAATCGACTGCAATATGTTATGAAAAGAAAAAAGCGTAATGAGACTGTAAGCAAAAAAATACCAAGATTATATGCCAGCAATTCTCAAAAGGAACTCTCAAAGACTTCACATGCAGCCACGGCAGGACAACTTTTTAGTAAGCCTTATCTTGAAATTAACAGACAAAAGTGCAACTACCTTTAATGTCATTTAAGAAGATGATCTTTCCTGAGTTCAAAGGCCACTATTTCATGTATAACTTCCATCAGCACATGGAATCAGGATAAATAATTCAAACAAAATGAGAATACTATCAAATAAGATGCAAAAAAACCCCAAAACAAACCATCACAATAAAACTTGATACTGTTGCATACAACCATGATCTTTAAAACATCAAAAGCATCTAGTTCAGGGTAACACTAAGCCTTTCAAATGTTTTTGCTTAGTGGAAAAGGGTCATTCATTTTTGAGTACAAGGATCCAAATTCTATTTCCTAGTCAGTTTGTGAAGTTTTAGGTAAGTAAACCGAACCTTAAGATCTATGAAGTTTGCAGGACCATCAGGTGGGGGGTACTACCTCCACATGGAGTCACTGGAAAATTCTCAGTGCTACACAACTTGAAAGGAACAGACCTGAATGAAACTGTAAGTCATGACACTTGACTATGTTAAAAAAGTGCACTTGTAGAAACAACATTTCCTTACCTCCCCCAGTTTTAGTCTGAAGTTTTGAAAGGTTTACGTTAAACAACAGGCAATGCAGAAGAGATAGATAATGCTTTATTTTTAATTAATAAGTAATTGAAGCAAATGTTGTCTAACTATAAAAAGGTCTATTTTGCAAATTCCTGCTTTTATTTCTTGATTATTCAAAGCTGAAAGAAGTCAAGAATGGCTCTGACAGAGAAATCCAGTTACATCAACAACAACGAAGTAAACGTTAAGCTTGTCATCCCTTTTCTGAGGTGTTTACAATACAAGAAGGAAAAGCAACAAGTCCTTACCCAAAAAAGTAGGTTTTATACAAGGTTTCTGATCACGAACCAATACAATCAGTTGCAACATTTCATTTTGAATTGATTTCATTGAACAACTCCAAACTGAAATCCCACTGACAATACTTCATTCACAAGTAGCATCTGCAACATAAGGTCGTAAATTAAGCACTAAAAAAAAGAAGCTCAGCAACACATTTTGGACTGGAGTGGTAGATTTTTCAGGTTCACACAGACTCCTGTAGTAGCTTTGGTCCAGTTTTGAGCTTATCTTAACTTCTAATTTCCAATATGCACAATGTTGCAGTACCTGAAAGCACGACTGCACTCTACAGAAGAAAAGATTTTCTGAAAAACTGCCTGAGACAATCCCAAAAGGTTTCCTACTACTATTTCTACATAGTATTTGAAGGATTTTTATGTATTTATTGTTGGGTTTTTAATTTGTAACTTTATGGACTTCAGTAACAGAAATGGACTGAAGAGAAAAACAGAGAAAAGACAGTGCATACTAAGATACTACTCAGACCTGTTTTAAGATTAAATCAGTAAAACCCAAAAATACCTCTGGATTTCCTTCCCTCTTCAGAAATAAACCTTTGAAGAACAGTATTTCCATTACAGGCATCTACCTTGGGCATGATTTGCCTCCGCTTCCCCTTGAAGTATCTTAAGATGGCCTACCAATTTCCAAACACATTTAATGGGCAGAGGTCTCAAGACATGAGACTCCTGCCAGCTCAGTCAGCTGCTGGAGTGGGCACAGTTCGCACCACAGTTCTAAGAAAGCTAAGGAGAATACAGAACCACAAACTTGACTGGTGGGAATTTCATATGTCATCACAGAGTAAAGTACTAGAGCGAGAGAAAGAGATGCAACTGTGTAGGAAATCAGGCCTTATTACATCCCATACAACATTGTCTTCTTTCTCTCCAACACCTGCCCATAAACTCTCTAAACATATGTGGAAAAATATTACAAGAAAGGAAGCTTCTGTCAACAGTACTTTATCTAGTAACAAATGTTCTGCTAGAATACATAAAAAAATTGGGCTTTAACTTACAGGGTAGGGCTTCAGCACTAGATTAACACACCCTTAATGTAGGTGTCTACTTGAAAGCAAACTCCTATTACAGGATACAAAGATCTAGGTGACAGTTCATGGACCGATTAGTGAATAACTGTGGGACCAGCCATTAGGTTTCTATCTCAGGATGAGACAAATCATTCCCTAGTTAGCAAAGCCTTTAGTGAGAACTTAGACACACACTTGCACTTACAAACCAACACACATACTTAGGTGTCTGGACTCCACCTACTGTCACTGTTTCAGATAAGAATACTTGGAAACAGAGTTATCCACAAGGAACAGATTACTTACATTAAGTCTCTTCACATTCATCTTCGGTTCAAGTGACTCCGAAGTAAAACGCTGATAGTAAAACTAAGTTTCCTTTGCACACATTGTGCTTAATTATTTAGGCAACTGTCCTGATAGCTATTAACTGCTCCATCCTACACTATTACTTGGACTTGACATTTAAGTTGAAAGATAACTTGAGAATAACAAAATTTGTGATCTGCATCCAAAATACTGTTTAACGAAAGAATTATCACAAACTCAGTGTAGCACCTTGTAATGTAACCAGAGTAAGTTGACTAAGATTTGGCCTGTAAACTATCCAACCACGAGACAAGACAAACAGGTTGGTGTACCTGATCTGAAGGGTGATGCTGAAACAAGAGGTGCAATGGTAATCACAAGGGCAAAGATAAATTGCATAAAAAATGGTGGAACCAAAGTAAAGGAGGAAAGACCACTGAAGCAGATTCGACACATGAGATTCCACAAAGCCTTAAGAAACACATCCAGGTACCCATTTACTGTGAGACCACTCTCTATCCTTTTTGATATGTCACGATGACTGGGGGAAGTGCCTGAAAACTGCAAAAAAAACCCCAACCATCATGCACATGTTCAAGATGGAGTGTGCAGGGAGCTATAGGCCAGTCAGCCTCATCTCAGTTCTCAGAAAGCTATCACAGAAAATCCCCCCCCAAAGTTGTACCCAAGAAGCACATGAAAGCAACTGGGAACACACTCTGCATGGATTTGGTGAGGGCACATGGTGCTCAAATCATCTCATTGCCTTCTATGAGATGAATGGCTCAGTGGATGAGGGGGGAACACTAGATGCGGTTTAGCTTCACTTGAGCAAGGCTTTCCACACTGTCTCCCACAGTATTCTTATAACTACACTGGTAAAATATGGATTAAGTGCACTATAAGCTGCTCCTAGGGGAAAAATGGAGAAAAAGAAAAAAACCACACAAACAAAAAACCCCAAACCATAACACACAAAAAAAACATTAACTTGCCAGCAATGTCCTTCAGGAATCAATATTGGGCCAATACTTTTCAATGTCTTAAGTACCTGGACAATGGGACAGTATGCACTCTCAGCAGGTTTGTGCATAATACCAGAGAGGGGGAGGAAGACACACCAGCTGAAACACTGGAGGGCAGAGCTGCTATCCAAATGGACTTTGACAGGCTGGAAAAACGGGAACCACATGAAATCCAAGTGCAAATGGAAAGTCCTGCACCTAGAGTTCAGTAATCCAATGCAGCAACACAGC